GTATTTTTCTTTCTGTGAAAAACATGTGCATTTAGGCTTTGGTAATACAAATATGTTCAATGAGCATAGAAAATAATGCTGTTGTAAACATATTTTGGTTAAAAAAAAAATGTAGAGCCATATCTCAAAGAATTTTTTTACCACTACTTCTAAACTGCAGTTTCTCTTAGCAAGAGTCAAATAATCTAGAGGACTATCATCTTCCAAAATCTAATTTTAATTATATATACCTAAGTATACTATAAAATTTATATGCTTTATGAAAATTCATATATGAAACAAAACCCCAAATTACTAATACATACCACTAAGTCACCTAAATCAAAGACTACTGAATACCTAAAAAGTATTAAGAAGAATGGTATAGGGGTCCTGGGTGGCTCAGTTGGTTAAGCGTCAGACTCTTGATTTTGGCTCAGGTCATGATCTCAGGGTCCTGAGATGGAACCCCATGATGGGTTATGCTCAGTGGGGAGTCTGAGATTCTCTCCCTCTCCCTCTCCCTACACTCGTGTGCTCTCTCTAAAATAAATAAATAAATTTTTAAAAAATTAAAGAAAAAACTATGGTATAAATTAAGCACAGGACCAATACTTTCTAAGAGGGCTGTAAAGAATACTATTAGCAACTCTGTAAGAAAAATTAGTTGCTCATAAATGCCCAATACTCTTAAGAACTGGAATTCCTTAAGTCCATAGATAATCTTGGGCTAACAATTTTTTTTTATTTTAAAGATTTTTAATTATTCATTTGAGAGAGAGAGAGAAGAGAGCACACAAGCAGGGGGGAGGGGCAGAGTGAGTGAGAGCAGACTCCGCTGCTGAGCAGGGAACCTGACATGCAAGGCTTGATCCCAGGACCGGGAGATCAAGACCTTAGCCCAAGGCAGACACTTAACCATCTGAGCCACCCAGGCGCCCCCAATTCTTTTTTTAATACTATAAATTACGATAATTTGCTGGAAACTGTGAGGTATGTCTACAGTAATATCCACCCATTATTACTCATGCCAAAAGATCATTTGAAGAAATGTCTCTAAATTCTCCTCCAATTATATTTTTAACTGAATATATTTGACATATAACATCATGTAAATGTAAGATGTACAACATGTTACTTTGATACATTTATATATTCTCATGACTACCCTGTATCCATACTTATCATATTACATAATCATAGTACAATATTATTGTCTCTAATTCCTTTCTGATTGAACCCCAGTCCACCATCTAAAAAAGTTTACCCTAGGGACGCCTGGGTGGCTCAGTTGATTAAGCGACTGCCTTCGGCTCAGGTCATGATCCTGGAGTCCCAGGATCGAGTCCCACATCGGGCTCCCTGCTCAGCAGGGA